TTTATATATTTATTTTTATACTTTATATGTATATATTCAACGATAAAAAAAGATCGCTTCGATCGAGCTGATCGAATGTTCGTGTCACAGTGGCATATAATGACTGCTCTTTTCTCACGAAACGTATGATTTTCGAACGGCCATTTAAATCTAGTACAATTCCCGTTTTACATGACTTTGTTTCTCTCTCTCTCTCTCTCTCTCTTGTGGATGAAACGCCGTTCGAAGATCAACTTTTCGAGTCTTCACCCTTAAAACTCACACAAACGTATCGACGACATTTGAAATTTTCGAGAACGATTTCGAAATTCTAAGATTTTTTGAACATCGTGACGCACGTGTTGTGATAAATTTTAAGAAAATAATCTGAAGGAGGCTCGGAAAAATTATAAGAAAAAAAATTTACATTTGAGATAACTTATTTGTGTAAAATTTTAAAATTAGTTGTTAATATATATGCATTTTATTATACATTATCAACCGTGTCAGCTCACATTGGCATTTTTATTTTCCTCTGTGATTTATTGAAATCTTTTCTTAAGTTCATTATTTTTAAAATTGATTCAAAATTATTAAAAACATCACTTTTAAATTTCGATGGTTTATCATAATTTAAATGATTTGCCATAATCAAACCATTTTACTCATGCATTATCGCGAGAATAGATCTTTTATACATTACTTGTATTATCAGAATGATCAAAACTATCTTGTATAGCTGAGAAAAAAGTATGCTTTCATTAATAAAAATAGTTTTGTTAAATTGGGAAGAAACTATTCTCTTAAAGTCTGCTGCTGATAAACAGATAACATCCATGACTTATACTGATATCATCCGTAAATGCATCAGTCTAACGCAATATTAATGTCCAAATAAAGCGTGCTTATTGCTCGCTTATAATTAAATCTTGCTTCATAATATAATCTATAAATAATCGAGCGTATCACGTTCTTGGTCACGTTTAATAGGTACAAGCTTGCTTTTGTGACAGGCGTGTTACATTAGTGCACGATAACAGTCACAGATATATAAAATAAAACGCGTTTAATTCTGACGGAATATCGATAGTTGCAAAATAGTTGTATCACAGATCGCGTGAATAGTCCAACAACATTAAATGCGAATTTTGCTGTAAACGCAAAAATTGTATTAATATCTAATATATAATATAAACTTTAGATACCATTGTAATAATTATCATTATTAATAGACTTACATTACTCCGCGAGAACATTGTAATTAAAATACATAACATATATAACATAAAATATAATATATAACATAAATATATAACATATTAATCTTACGAACTTTATAATGACTAACGTACTGCGTTAAATTAAAAGAAAAAGTTTTAGTAATATCAGATATGAAACTTTCTGTTCACACACGTTATTGATGCTGAAAGAATGATATCAGTATATATGAAGAATGAAATAAGATATTTTTCGCATATCAAACCACACAGACAATATGAAGTTTCGTTCGATTCAATCTTTGGTCATAAATTGAAAATCTTTGATTGGCTTTGTTCTAAAATCAATTTCGCAATTATTATAATACTATAAACATCGCCGATCTCAATTCATGCCTACACGTGCGCAGCGATGTTATTTAAATTTTCTTTTCAATTCAATTCTCTCCTACTTTCTGTCATCCACTGAGTGCAAATCGTGGCACACCGATGCCGAGAGCGATCACGTAGAATCAAGTAGAAACGCGCCGAAACGAAAGGGAGTTAAGGGAGAATGAAAAATCAGTATCAATTGCAAAACTTGAGGATCTCGTCAAGAGGTTCCCCAAATGCGTGCAACACGACGCACAAGTGGCGTGCGTGTGCAACACTCGTATACTTGATACGTACGTATATAGTATCGTACGTGTATATATATATATTTTTTTATATGTTATATTTTTCGTATGTATGTATATATGTGTATGTATGTGTGTAATGTGTGCGTGTGCGCATGTGTGTGTATGTATTATGGAAGCGCCGAAGATACTCGCACGAGATTTTCGAAACTATTAAGACTCAGACGTATGTAGGAAAACGAGACGTACATATCGGACTCGCGTGGAAAAGATTTAATTTGTTGTCCATCGAACGTCATTGTCCATTTTCATATTTTCGAAAACTTTCCCAGCGATTTTTTTCCCGTTAACTCGGTAACGCATGGAGCCCAAGTGCATAATAAGAACAGCACGTCCCGCTCAGTGCTGTCATTGATTTTGTTACCGTAGGATGTAGAGCAATAAGATATACAGAAGATACGATCGTCTATTTGGCGATAAGTCTTGTCCCGTGAAGATAAATGGATATTCTGTACCCGCTGGGGAAGAGAAAATACGAAAGATGGAGACGAAGGTGAATTTCTCTATTCTTTTTAGGCCCTCGTGCGTCCTCGCGTGAACGTCGACATCGAGCTTTGTACATTACCTTCGAGATCCGCGACTTCGGAAACGCCGGGATCACACTTTCATCGCGAATGTCGAAAGCCTAAGATAGAATCGTATCTCTTATAGGGCGCCTCTCGTACGTTTCGGAAATGATTGTTCCGTTAAACATGTCTTCCCCCCCTTTCTGATTCCTCCTTAAAAAAAAAAAAAAAAAAAAAAAAAAAAAAAAAAAAAAAAAAAAAAAAAAAAAAAAAAAAAAAAAAAAAAAAAAAAAAAAAAAAAAAAAAAAAAACTAATACGGTTCTTATATCTCTGCATACTAAAAAATAATTAAACAGTGAGAATGTCAATGATACGTAAAAAAAATATCCAAATACACGCTGTCGAAATGAGATGCTGTTAATTGAACGTAAACGACGAAACGTACGAAGGGCGAGGTTTTGTCTTATTCTAGCGGCGTGGTACGTCAGCTAGGTGATCATGTGTTATGCGATATTCACTAAAAGGTATTATATACACGCAGTATAGTTACGGAGTAGCGTTTCACATTTATCATACAGATAGACAATATTAACTTGGATGTATTTCAAATTGCGTCGGCTAAACAATTCCTATATTTATCCTAAACGCTAGAAGGTTAACTAAATCTTAACTGTAGTACTATCTTACCTGCACTGCTCCTTACTTTGTTTGCTCTCTAACTTACATACTTAAAGAGTACTTAAAATTAATATTCTCGTAGGCGTATATATCTATGCATTAAACTCTTAAACTTACGTCACGTTCGCGTACACCAATTAACGTCATCGTAGAAAAGAAAGTAGTGGTAGTAGTAATAGTAATAGTAGAGTAGTAAATAGTATCAGTAATAATAGCAAATTACGGGCGAAAGGATCCGTATTAATGTAATCGATTAAAAATTGGTCTATGGGCCTACATTCGACGAGCGATAACGCTTGTACAATCAAACAGTATACATACTCGCACAAAGAGAAGTAACACAAAAAAATACAATGCACATAATATATAGACGCGTGTAAACGAAAGAAGTAAAGAAAAACAAAACATTTGCAGCCCTTTTCTCTTCGCCGGTCGATCGATGGTTCGACCATTTCTGAAAGCCGATCGCTCCTCTCCTCGAAAAGGCACGAGAAATTGTAAATTCCAAGCCTCTTACTCTCGTATCCGCAAGCTGTAAGAAATCCGTATGTCTCGTAGAAAAAACTCGTACAATGTATTATATGCGGCAGGGTTAAGAGTGAAGTCTCGAAAAGAATCGCAAGACGTCGGCCCGACGTAGAAAAAACCCGTTGTTCGCCCCTCCGACCCTTGCGATTAATTAGCATTTGATCGACGCAGTCGATTGTTAATCCAATAGGGCGATCGGTTATGGTCGGCGACGCAACGGGAATGGCCAGGAGAAGCCGCCGCTTTATTAAATAGAAACGGCATCCCTAGGTCACCATGTATCGCATTGACGAGTAAATTAGAGAAGACGAGCGATCATAGACTTACTGTTTTTCGGTCTACTGAATGTACCGACCGGCGCCGTCGCTTTTACATTACGCGCATTACAACTACTACGAAGGAACAAAACGTCTGGGTACTCTCTGGGGATATTTGGCACAGATTAAACGGAATTTTCAACACGCGACACGTCTCGAGTGACACGAGAAACGCAGAAAAAAGAAATCATACACGCGCATGGATCAGAGTTTGACTGATCACGAGTTTCACTTCATAGTTCCATCGCGCTTTTCTATAAAGTATGTCAAATATTAAACATTTCCTGTGGATGTATTTTGATTAATACCTTGTTGTTGTTCGATAGTTTCCACTTTCTTTTAGTCGCTTCGCGCTTATCCAGTGGTAACCCCGTAATAAGTATCGAAAGAACATATGTACGCGTCATTATATCATATTTTTCCTCGAGTCGTCATTTCGTATTTTCATCATTTCCGTAACAATGTAAAAAAAGAACGTAAATCTGTATATATATTTTATACTCTTTACAAATAATATATATATGTAATATTGTATATATGTATATCATACAGCGTACGCAATCTTACGCGCTAGAAATATTACCGTGGTAGTTACTCGCTTAAGTCTAAAATGTTCTACCCATTAAAACGGAAGGAGAAACGTCCACTTCGGACCTCGTGATTTTCACGCGAGGAAAGAGAACTTTTCTCCAGAGGGGGGGAAAGGAGAGAGGGGAGAAGGACTCTTCGAGATTCAAAGCTATCTCGTGGCGATTATCGGAAATAATTAGGAAAAATCATTAGTATTTACATGAGATAAAGCGCGATAATGTCGTTTCGTTTTGACAACTCGGTAATGAGGATCCTTTCGTCAAGCTTCGAACTTAGTTCAACCTTCACCTATAAATTACATTCGCGATTTAAAATCACTTTGTTCTTTTTATCTAAAAAATCCTTTCAATCGCATGCATTAATCCTTCTTAGCGGCCTTGTTGAGGCGAAGGCGAACGAAGCGCGTAGTAGGAACATACATAAAAATTCATCTTTTCGTATCTCTCAAGTTCTTCAGCGCGAAGAATACACGTGATCCTTGATCGCGATAATCGCTACCACTTCTCCTGTTTCTGCGAACGTTTTCTTGGATTGGTTGAAAGGGATTCCTCATTTTCGAATGATAAACCACGATGATTTCGCGCGATGGAGGCGAGTACATCGTCGTTTTGAATGTGTAGTTCAATGTACGGAGTGCGGGGTGTTACTGGATCACGAATGCTTCACCACAATCACGCCAGGTCGCTGCTGGGTCTGCTGTTGCGTATGAAATTGGAGGAAACGCTCGGCGTGAAGTATCCGTTGTTTCGCGGATGCTGCCGTGGCAGACGTCGTCGAGGGTGAAGAGGAAGAAGAAGTCGTAGTCGCAGATTTCGTTGACGTTGAGTTCGCCGTCGCCTGTTGCAGTTGTTGTTGCTGTTGCTTATTGGTCAGTGCCAGTGGCACATCCTGCGCGGGTTCATCGCTGAATAGATGGTCACCCTCTAGATGACGTATCGCCTCGACGATTGTTTCTAAATTCTGTCGAGACGTGTTCGCGATGTATAACCTTGCTTGCGACGTACCATCGTCTAGAGAGCTTGATGGCGAAGGCAACCTGCAGTATCAAGAAATTTTTCATTGCAAAATTGATTCTTATTAATTCTTGTCTATTGAATTTCCTGCAAAGAATCGAACTTGTAGTACTCTTCCGTACAAGGAAATGCTTACATGTGACGTAATGACTGTTACATTAAACGAATTAGGAATTTGAAAGGTAAACTAAACGTCACATCTAAAGCAGTCCAATTATTTAGGCCCACTCTTTATCTCTTTTCAAACAACAATCGGGATTATATTTAAGATAAAATAAGCGTGTGTCACATACCTCTCCACCTCGACTTTGGGTTCAGCCTTCATCGCGGCCTCTAGAACACTTGGTAGCCGTGGTTCAGCGACCGGTGAGAAGGGCCTACTAGGACTCGCAGTGATGAACTGAGGTGAGCCAGTCTTGAAATCTGCGGAGGACGAAGTAGCGTACGTGACGCGACTCGATGACGAGAACGAGTCCGCGGTAGTTGGCTCTTCCATCGCCGTGAACACCTGATTCTGGGTGAAGGCGACGATCTTGGGGGTACTCGCGCGTGACTCTTCCTCTTTGATCTCTTCCGACACCATCTCAGCCGGTTGCGGCGACAAGGGCGGCGAGCTTGGATCCGGACTGGACGTCTCCACAGTTTGAGTGGAGCCTACCGGTGGCAAAGACATGACCGATACCACCTGAAGCGTGGCTACTGCCTCCTCCGTTTCCTGCGCCATTACATTGTCCGTATGCTCGATCACCTAAAAAAGTGACGAAATTTTTATTTATTGTATTATCGCACTTGTGAAACTTGTCTCTTTGCGATCTGTCTATTCTTAGCGAAGACTAGATGAATATTTTGTACGCGGAACGTTGCTACAAAGAGGAAAGGAAAGAAATCAATTCAATCGAAATAATAAAACTGTATACAACGCGCATTGCAACGATTTGTTATCAGACGCAGTTATCTACGCGAACGATTAAAACAATGTTTGCAATATCTTTCGGCCGGAAAACGTTTAAATCCTCGAGGGTCAAACGAGTTTACGGTTGGATTATTTTCTGTATCGTGCGCAGATAGCGATCTCTCGGCAATCAAAATCGCTCGTTTTCATTGACTATGATTTTCCAGTTAAGACCTCTCTGTACCGTGTTGTTTTTATAACGTTTCTTACGGTTACAAATTTTATATTTCATATTACCGATTTAATTAATAATTTATTGATCTCTTTTTAAAATTATATAGATTAATTTTTATATTTGCATAAACTCCATTTTTATTTTACTCCCCCGAAAGATTAGTGAAAGCAATACGGGAAAGGAGCGTTACCTCGTGGGGTTGATAAGCGATTAGCTGATTGTCTCGGAATCTCTCTGGATACACCTGGCTCTGAATTGCTCTCATTTGTTTCTCTAAATGCAGTCTCGCCTGACGCTCCCTATCTAGCTGTCGTTTGAGCTCCACCACATCGCTGTTCACAACGGAATGTCCCTCTGTGGTCACTGTGATTACCGACAACGGCTCGGGGGACATGCTGCCCAAGCCCTCATCGCCGCTCTCGCTGACGTGCATTGGTAGACTAACGACAACACCTGAGAAACAAAAGAAATCAAAATGAGAGAGAAATTAAATCGTAATATCTTCTCGTAAAAAAAGTGAATCGATTGATCAGTGCTTGAATAATATCAAAACAAATCAAAATGATCAAGAATTTGATTATTTTCATATTTATTCGTTTTATTTAATTATTTTTGCTCTTCAAATATCATCGTGACATTACATAAAAAAAGTCATATACGTTAAATAAATAATAGCTGTGAAAAACAATTTTTACAGTAAAAACTTGACGTTTTTATGAAACTAATTTATGAGAAAGGCTCATAAAATCGGATTACAGTCGGCGAATAACCGCAATGAACTTTCAGAACGTATTTTAGATTTCCAGCGCACACATGCCAGTGTACCAACCTGTCTGCGCGATATAAATGAATGCGAGACCGTGAGCGAAATTAAATCTGGTCACTGTTTACGATATAGAGCAAATATAGAGACCATTACACTTCGCGCGGATCAAAGGCCAGTCCGTTTGTTTCAATGTTATATTAAAGCGAAGTGAATGTAACGTTCCTGTATGTTCAGTTCATTTTGCACATTATTTGACATCATAGAATGTTACGGTGAATTATAATGCGGTAACGGTACAGCAAATTGTCCATCGCCCTTGGCAAACATTTTCAATCAATCGAACATTTATTAATTAATGTCATTTCGAACGGTAACTGTGATTATCGGCTTTTGTTATCAATGAGATCGCGCGCAACCGCGACATCAAGCACTATTAATATCAAATTTTTTCCTCAGCCTAAACATGGATTTAAAAGAGATATGTTGTTAAATTGTTCATAAGAATAGGTTATAATTCATCATTCATTGTTTTATCTTAAGAATATGTATTTAAATATTAATTCTTCATTACACCATATTCAACATTTAATTAATTCTTATATTTATATACTTACATCTAATTGAACAGTCTACAATCATTCAAATTAAATGTAAAATGTATTTCAATAATTAAAATATATCTTTCTCTATGCCTCAATATATCTTAATTTTTCATTGCTATTTGTATAATTTTCTTCATAAAGAATATATCCATAAAATTTTTTTTAATAAATCGCCATAACTTTGAATTAGCTTCCTGTCCGTAAATTCGATTATGAAACGTTATTCCGTCGTATGAATAATTATTGTAAATGTTGGGGTTGATATTTGAAGGCAATCGGGAGGGTTAACCACGATTGATCGATAAAAGTCGGTTCGTCGGCATTAAATCCACTTCGTCGCACAGCCGACGACGAACTTTCTGAATATCGTCGTGCCATCGAACGGAGGAAACTAATTTACGATAGAACCGGAAATTGAAATTGTCTCGGCCGAAGTTCGCGACAGATACTTTCCGACAGGCACACCGCCGCGACGGCGACGTCGCGTCGTCGAAACGCCACCGGCGTCGAAACAAGAGAGTACCCTTAATTCGCCTCTTGTATTTAGTCCTCGAAGTAATAAAGACTTTCGAGGACGATCCTGACGCTGCCATCATTGCCTATCCGTTTCTTTGAACCCTTTATAATCCCCGAAAGTTTAATCTTCCTGATATTACCTTATACGGATATTTAGCGATGCATGTGCAACGACACATAAAATATTAAAACTTCTTTTTACTTATTTCATATTTCGATAAAAAAATAATAAAATATCAGGATCTTCAAGAAATCATCTTTCATGTAGGTAACAATTAAATTACGTTTCGCAAATCAAATTAAATTTTATGGAAATTTTTCATTTATATATTATGTAAGCGATAGTATCACCTCGTTATTATATTAAGCCTCCTTTGAAATATGTACATCCTGTACATCCCTTCGCGCGATACCAAGTCGCGAAGAATGTAATTACTTTCGCGAAAATGACGAACGGCTTTCTCAACCGCATTGACCACGTTGTCGACACGAGATTAAAAAATTCCAGCTTGTAAAATTTGCCACTCTTACCGCAAAATATGATCACTAGTATACTGATTCGATATGAATTAGATTACGTATGAATGAATCAAAAAAGAAATTTCCGATTTTTGCATATGTATATTGTGGCAAAGCGCGGTCGAATTTACCATATAAGAGCAAAAATTCATACAATCATGTTTATTTGAAAGTACGTTATTTACTTACTATACTTTTGAGCGAAAGTTTCAGAAATGCAACAATTCAATTTCGCGATTGAGAAATAACTTATATAGAAACTTCGACGTGGCGTCGTATAAAAGCGGGAAAACCGTGAAATAAGCGGATTGCAATGTATATCCGCACAACTTTTCGCGCTTTGCATCGACTGTTTCCGCTTTTTGCTTTTACGATCCCAAATCCACATGGGACATTGCAATCGTGGTCGCACGAGCGATAAATAATTCAAGTCCATTTGGAAAATCACGTTATGTGACGGCCGACGAACGTTAATTCTATTGCTCTTTATGTATACAAATGTTTGCAAGCAAACAATAACGTGATGTTTTATTGATGTACTTTTACATTACCGCTACATTTTCACAGTTTACAATGAATTTTTTTACGGACGTCCTCTTTAAGAGCATGTTGATAAAATTATATTCTTGTACAAAAATATATAAATGTTTCCACTCTCTTTTGTACAAAATAAATTTATTTTAAAAGTTAACAAATAATTACCTTGGGTATCGGGTTTGCGTTTCTTGATAGGTACATCGCCACCCTCGTGCTGATTTACCAATCGTTTTAGTTGGCAATTTTGTGACAGCAGTTGTGTTTTCTCTTGCTCTAATTGGTATATATATTCGGCAGTCTGTTGGAGTATCGCAGCCTGTAATATAAATAAAAAGTAATTATTTCGAATCATATAATACTTTTTCAGATTGTTACAATCTTCAAGTGCCATCACGTTTTTACTCAAAAATATTCTAATTAAATAATTGAAGAAATAAAGGACTCTTTTTATAAACAATAATTAATACGTTGAGAATGGCGAATAAGAGTCAATCTAAATCTGACAATTTATTCTAATATTCTATATTGCGAAGAATTGACTCTTATTCGCCATTCTCAACGTATTAATTATTGTTTATAAAAAGAGTCCTTTATTTCTTCAATTATTTGTTTTCAAAACCGCAGGTTGTAATAACGCGGATAATACATTGTAATTCTGTTCATTAAGTAAAAATTTACAGTTTCTAGATTAATTGCGTTTCAAGACCGAAAATCCATCGGCGCGCAAATATTTAGGAGGGGGGATATTTCAGATTATTAGAGTTGCGTTGCAAGACCGAAAAATCTTTCGGCGCGCAACAATTAAGAAGAGGGGACATTTAAAAATCAGATTATTTGGGGGGACTATATATAATTAGAACGTTATTTCTCACTTTGGATAAATATTGCGAAGAATATTACTACGTCGACCCGCCATCAGAGGTCTATCGATATTCGCAAATTCTCGCAAGTGCTGAGACACGCGTATATCTCTTTATATAGAATCTCGATTTAATAACTTACACCGGCGTCTAAGGTAGGCTTCCACTACAATACCTTACTGATGAGTCCAGTAGTGGAAGCCGGGACGAAACGCCAAACATTACGTGATATTCTTCGCAATATAGAATATTAGAATAAATTATCAGATTTAGATTGACTCTTATTCGCCATTCTCAACGTATTAATTATTCTAATTAAATCAACAAAAGAATCCAAAACAAGAATGGTATTTTGTGAGACCGAGGAAAATTTCTAGTTATCATAGTCAATGCCATTCTTGTTAGGACCTTTTGTTGGTTTAATCAGAACATTTTTTCAGTATTATTATGTTAAAATTCACGCAAAAGTTTGTACTTTTGAGGTAAAATCACGAAATACGTTTATGAAGAAAAGACTTTGAAATAAAAGTTGTTGAGAACATCCGAGACAAGAACTTAAGAGAAGAAAGCGAAGACAAAGAGAAGAAAAAGAGAGACCTCACAATAAATCTAGAGAGATCGCGTTTGTCGCAGGTGCTCCTCACGCATCACATGCAACCTGCACCAGAGAACCATCGGTAGAGGGAAGAAGAGAAGAACGGGGACTTCCTGTTTACTGTGCCACAAGCTTAAAGGGTTTTACGTGGTCAGGATGGAAAAGAAGGGGACCACACCGTATGGGCCGATAACATCCGGTGGAGGCTATCGCGTGTCGTGCGTACTACGTCGTAGTAAAACGGGAATGACTTCGAAGAACAGACCAGCAAAAACAAAAGGGCCGATTGATACCAACTGCGCGGGGTAACGGGGCCGGGTGTACGGTTCGCACCTGCCGACAGGTGGTTAACGAACAGATGCCCCGCGTACACTGCGATCGTAAATGCACGAATGATGTCTACCACCGCCTCGTCCTTTCTCTGAGCAGCCGGTCCTTTCGCGTCACGTTCTTACGTTAAAGGAAAAAAAAAGAGAACGTGCTCGATTATCCCCCTCGGAGATGCACCTTCTTTTTCGGTGCTAATTGGACACCAGCCTCGAGCAATCGAGCAATTGATACGCGCAACTTTTGCACAACCTTTCCCGCCTCTCTATGTCCACCTACATATGTAACTTTATATCTATAACATATCTCGTATAAATGTTTTAAAAAAATTAAGAAGTATAACTTCAGATAAATAAAATAAAACAAAAAGCAAATTATTAAACTATTATTTAATTTATAAATTGAAAGTCCGTATATATTATTAATACAATAAAAATTACGATGAAAAAATGTGCAATGTAATTTGAATAATAATTATTTTAATACTGAGCTTAGACAAAAGATTTATCGTAAGATATCCGAACGGATTATTATTAAAATTCCTTCATTTTATCTCAAGTTAAATACGAAAATGATCAGAAACGGATACGAAAATGCAAACGGATTTAATTATATTAAATGAAACATTACAAATAAATTAATTTCAGGTTATGCTTATTTTCATAAGTACGTATAAAATAAAAATTAATGATGGCAGATAGTATATCAAAAAATGCAATGCTGAAAAATCACGAGTCTGTAATCTAGATATATCTAAGTGTAACATCATCTCAATTATTATTTACTTATAATTATTCACCTAAAAATAAATCTAAATATCTTATTTTGATCGATTATATAACTTACTAGATAACTTATTAATAAATTTTTTTTAAATTAATTTTCATGAAATATTTAAAACAAATCGAATCGTTTTCGATTTGTTATTGTTGTCATAATTTCTAACAAGTACATTTGTACAATCAATTCACAAAATAATAATGTACGATTTAAAGAATGACTCATTTAATATCATTTTCGTAAAAGTGGTCTGATAAATAGAAGAAAAAATTCCACCAGGAATGGAATTTTCTAGAGACGGGATAATGTAATACGAGACATGCTTCCAAAATTAGATTAAAGATCGGAATAATGTTTACAATTAAAGATCGTAAATCAACTTGAAGAAAAAAGTGTAATAAAGATATGTGTTATAATGATAAAAAGACAATCAATGGAGTTCATTCACACTCGTGATGTTAATTGCTTAACGCGTTTCTTAAGTCCAGTCGCGGAAGGTCGAGAACGTCACGGCCAGAACTTTTGCTTTCTCAGGAGCGGAATAAAAAGAATCTCATGGAGCAGGTTGGCGATTACTAGGCCGGAAGACCGTATCTCTCGCACGCAGTTTCTACGGTCCGCTCAGTCAAAGTTCCAATACACGTGCCGAATTCTTGTTAGCCGAATCGCTTTGCAAAACTCGACGCAGGCCAAGGCCGCTCGCCAGCGGCGATGGCGGTAGCGATGATGGGGACGATGTTATCTACAGGTAACAGGTAACGATTTATAGCGGATGGGACAATTTTCTCTTTCTTGAATAAGCCGCAAATTCTGTCCGCAGCCTAATTTGTATTCGTAATAATAATTCATGCATTAACAATTCTAATTTACAAAATTTTAATATTAAAATTCGAATTCTTTTATCTTCACAGAAATAATGATAATATTTTTCTAAACATATACCAATTAATTTTAAAATATTATCATTATTTCTATAAATAGAAAAAAATTCGATACTGATTAGCTCGCCAAAACTCTCATTAGTTCTCGATTAATTTATTTTATTGATAATTTCGAATATGCTGATAGCAATTAATAATAATAATAATAATAAGAAGCAATTAAATAAGAAATAAAATATTAGAACACATGTGTACGAAGAACGAAATTTACAGCGAATTTGTAATCCACCGATTATTACGCTTCCGATCTCATCTGTGCGTAAGGAAAGTTTAGAGTACGACAGCTGCGGTTCGTCGCATCTGAATGGGATGACAATACGCCGCGATCGATATACGAGTACAAGATGAGAAGGGCGAAATAATACTGGCAGCTGGTGATCGAAAGAGAGGAAAATCCGCTGCAACGCGCGATCGCGTGCCTGAGTTCGTGACCCCACCTGCTGAACTCGTTTCCACGAAGCTCACAATTCCCCTCAAATAATCGACGAAGGGATGTTGCGTATTCGTGAACGTGAATGCACGTTGTTACGAAAAAATATTTTTCCGCTGAACATGTAGGGAAGATATTGATTAACTTCTTTTTCTCTTAATTAATTTCTCGTAACTCAGTTTTTAGCTCTTAAATTTTGTCCTGCAATTCTGCTTCAAAACAATTAGATCGCTTTTCAAGTAATTGGAGTTTTTAATGTAAAAATTTAAGAATTAATGATTATTAACGCACTAAAATAAATATTTACTCAATAAAAAGAAATGATAATTGAGCAAATTAATGGTTTTCTAATAAAGAAATCTTTATATTCGGTAAATTAGTTGACACTATTCAAACAAATCATTCGTTAAAACTCAGTAAATTTTTCAGTGCACAAGTGATAACGCAAAACGTATAATTTCTTATTGTATAAAAAAAAAAAGTACACTGAGAATGTTCTGAGAGTTCTTGAAAAGACGCACTTCTACGCCGTTGTCGTGGCACGCAACGTAAGCTGTGGCATTCTACGACTGGTCACTACTACAGCCTCCTCCTCTCTCACCCTTCTGCACACCTTTACACTCGCTCCCTTTCACACTTTCTCCCTCTTCCTCACTCCCTCCAAGGGCCCGATTCTCTTCGTCGAGCCTTTCCTTCTTCGGCCCGCGAGAACTTTCCCGTCGAGTCTCTCCGCCGCCACGGCGATGGAATCGAATCGTTTTCTTCTTGTTGCAGCGGCGGCGGCGGCATTCCAAAACACGAACGCGCCGATGCATTCGAGCTGGGAGAAAGAGAAAGAGACGCAGGAGAGAGAAAAAGATAGAAAGGAGAGGAGGAACGAGAGAACCTACCGAACTCGCCCTCATTCGGCTATACTTGCGCGATCGTTTGTAATTCCGCGCGCGAATCCAACAGGAATTCCCCGCTATCACGGTTGCCCTATACGCTCTGTTGTTCCCGTTTGCATCTCTCTTCTATATTGCGTCGTTCTCGATTACAAATTGCCATCGTGATTGCAGATCAATGGAAATAAAATCAAGCGATACTATCAGCTCGTAAAGTGTCATAATATTAAAATACCTACTAAATTAACGCGTTATTTAAAATTTTTACGCGTTAAAACGATAATATTGGTATTCCTATGAAGAGCTTCAGTAAAAGAATCGCGCGCGCGCGCGCGCGTAACTTTCAATTTCATTATATACTATTATTTTACATTATACGCTTGAATAATACAATTGTCTCTGTTAACAGTGTCTACTGAAATAAAAATTCTTCAAAGTTTATATATTACGTTTGATGATAATAAAGTTAAATAACTGTAATAGTTGTAGAATTAGTAAT